CATTTATATTTGAAGTAATGTGATGATAAAGTCTTTGCAACTCTATTACTGAAGCTATTGAAATTTTAGGAGTATCAAATAATGCTCTAATATGTGATTGAATAATTGCTCCTTTGTTTTCATATCTTGCTGTTACTGCATCATAGGCCTGCCCATAGTTCTCATTTGTAGTTGGTATAGATTTGACACTGGCCTGCCCTTCTAAACAAGCCTTAAGAAAATGCAATTTATGAACCGGTGCCATATCTTTGTTGTTGTGGAAGTAAACTGTTGAAATATACAATTAATATGTAGTATATGTAGTCAGCCTTGACACGTGTGTACAATATAGTAACTAGTTATGTACGAGCATAAGACTCACTCTCTTTACGGATGTAACATGACCTCGGTCGTGCATATATATAGGGCCTTTGATGTATGTAATATTCACTTGCACAGACGCTGTCATACCGAGTGTACGCGGTGTGTGTGTATAGTCACAGTTTAATTGTCCAGTTGTACGTTATTATATATTATACTTATACATAATCATATTGTCGTGTTATTACTTATTATATTAATGCTAACATCATTAGTCCGTCAAGCTTCACTTTCAACAGGTTATGGGCCCAGTCAATAACCAAGACATACAGTCTAGTGGATTCGTGATCGAAGTATTTTTATATTTGTACTAACGCAGAAAACTACAACCAGTCGGAGATATCCTGGATTTCGGAAAACGGCGGAACAGTGTACATAGGTAAAGTTTTGTTATAAATTGTTATACAGGAAAGTATACGGGAATCCATCGGTCATGGAAGACACGGTGAAGATAACAAAATTATGTGCGGAAAACTGGTCGTTATGGAAGTTCCAGATGAAGGTCATTTTAAATGCCTTGGAAGTAGGTGAGATAGTTTCAGGCGAATGGACGAAACCAGGTCTACCTATAAAAAAGTCGGCAGGAGAGACCGACGAGGATGCCAAAGCACGTTGGCAAAGGCATACAAACGCTTGGCAAAAAGCGGACGGTAAATGTCAGAAAATAATAGTTACCTCAGTGGACGATGGTCCATTACAATATTTGATTAACTGTGAGACTGCATTGGAAATGTGGGAGAAACTGCTGAGTATTTACGAGCAGAAGTCTGAGGCAAGTATACATTTGCTTCAACAACAATTTTTCAGTTATTCAAAGGAGTCGACAGATGACATGTCGACGCATATTTCTAAATTGGTCAATTTAGGAAGGAAACTGAGAGTAGCGGGTGAACCAGTTACGGATAACATGGTTATGACAAAAATACTAATGACACTACCAAAAGAATATAATCATTTTTACAGTGCTTGGGATTCAGTCCCGACGGGAAGTAAAAATATAAATAATTTGACTAGTCGATTGTTGATTGAAGAATCACGGGTTATCCAGATCAAAGGTGAAGTTGGTGAACAAGAGAAATCGAGTGCATTTCCGGCCAAATTTCAAAACAGATCTGATGGAAGAAACGGCAGTCGTAATTATGGAAAAGGTAAAAATCAATTTACTAATAAAAGTAATATTAAGTGTTATTACTGTGGTAAACTAGGTCATTATAAAAGAAACTGTAGAAATTTTCTACAAAGTGTACACGGTGGTAAAACCGGTACGATAGGTGCGAACTTGAACGCATTCGTAAGCGAGTCAAGTATAAATAATATTGCAACAGATGCGTGGGTACTAGACTCGGGCGCGTCGGATCATATGAGCGCAAATCGAGAGTGGTTTTCAAGTTACGAACCACTGGACAACACGCAACAAATCACGATAGGTGATGGGACAAATCTGTATGCAGCAGGTAGAGGTAATATTAATATATTATCATACGTAAACGGTAATTGGAATAAAAATTACATGGCAAACGTGTTGCACGTGCCAGGACTAAAATTTAATTTATTTTCGTGCGGTGCCGCGATGGATAAAGGTTTAGTATTGACGTCAGATAGTAAGACGTGTATGTTAACTAAACAGGGGAAACCCGTATGCTCAGGTAAGAGATGCGGAAGGTTGTTTGAGTTAAACATCAAGGTCGAAGTACCGACAAACGGGTACGCGACGGTAGCTGTCGAAAACAGGTTGTCTGTTTGGCACGAGCGCATGGCACATCAGAATTTACAGTACGTAAAAATTTGTTTGGCGAAACACGAAATAGTATGTTCGGCCAAGGACGACGAATTTATGTGCAGCAGTTGTATAATAGGTAAACAAAGTCGTAAATCATTTAGTAAAAGTAATACGGAGTATCACAATGTCGGTGATTTAATCCATGCAGACCTATGTGGACCAATGGAGGTAAGCTCTATAGGCGGTTCAAAATACTTTTTGTTATTCAAAGACGACTACTCGCATTATAGAACGGTATATTTTATTAAAAATAAATATGATGTTAAAAATATTTTTGAGACGTTCATAAAAAGTGTTGAAACAGAAACAGGTTCTAAGGTCAAAATATTACGAACGGATAATGGATTAGAATTCGTAAATAAAGAAATTACGGGTATTTTACAAAAACACGGGATTCGACATCAGTTAACAGTTCCCTACACACCACAGCAAAATGGAAAAGTGGAACGGGAAAATCGTACAATAGTAGAGTCAGCGAGGACAATGATTTGTGCGAAAAATTTGGATGTATCACTTTGGGCGGAGGCGGTAAACACTGCTGTTTACACGCTTAATCGAACAGGAACCAGTTCAGTTAAAAATAACTCACCATACGAGTTATATTACAAGGTAATGCCAGACATTAAACACTTACGAGTTTTTGGTACTGTCGTATATACACACATACCAAAGCAAAAACGTAAAAAGTGGGACCCTAAAAGTGAAAAAGGAATATTTGTTGGCTATTCGGATAACACGAAAGGTTATCGTGTGTATTATTCGAAAACAAATAGAATTTCAATGTCTAGAGATATTATATTCGAAAACGAAGATAATAAATTGGAAAATATAATTGCAGACAAATTAGAATTCATAGATACTCAGACTCAAGTCGAGGGCGATCCGGTCAAGGTCGAATTGACGACGGTCGACAACAGGAGTGGCATGGTGCTACGTGATCGGAATACATTAAAAGCGCCGATCAGGTATAATGTGTCGTCGTTCGTCGCCAATCTCGTTGAACCACTAAATCGTGATGAAGCGATAGCTGGCCCACAGAAAAACGAGTGGGAGCACGCTATGAGTGATGAGATTACGTCACTACACAGAAACAACACTTGGTCACTAGTTAATTTGCCTCAGGGCAAGGTTGCGTTACGTAATGCATGGGTGTTCAAAACCAAATATAAAAGTGACGGTAATATAGATAAGTTTAAGGCCAGATTGGTCATTAAAGGTTGTTCACAGAAATACGGTATAGATTACCATGAAACATTTTCGCCAGTGGTCAGATACGAATCAATTAGGGCGATATTCGCAGTAGCAGCTGTGGAAAAATTAATACTACGACAATTCGACATCAAGACAGCATTTCTGTACGGAGAACTACAGGAAGAAATTTACATGGTACAACCACCAGGATACGAAGATGGATCGAATAAAGTATGTAAACTTCAGCGTAGTTTATATGGCTTAAAACAAAGTCCAAGATGTTGGAATATACGCTTTAAGAATTTTTTGAATGCATTTGGTTTACAATGTACCGAAGCGGATGCATGTGTATTCAAAGCTGATAACAGCCAAATTATTCTTGCAATATTTGTTGACGATGGTTTAATCGCGGCAGATAATGAAGAGATAATAGAGAAACTTTTAACGAACTTGGAGAAAGAGTTTGAGGTTAAAAAAGGAAACTTAGATTATTTTCTAGGTATGCAGGTAAACTTAATGAAAAATGGTTCATTATTTGTGCATCAGACAAATTATGCATGTAGCATAATTAATAAATTTAATATGCTGGACGCTAAGGAACTTTCAATACCAATAGACAAATCACATACACTTGAACAAAAAGAAGATACGGAAATATTGAATGAAGATATTCCTTATAGGCAGGCAGTAGGTAGCTTACTGTTCTTATCACAGGTAACAAGACCAGATATAGCATATGCAGTAAACTTTGCTAGTCGTTGCTTAGCAAAACCAACTAAAGCTCATTGGAACTTGGTAAAACGGATTATACGATATATCAAGCGAACATTTAATTATGGCTTGTACTTTAATAACAAAACAAAATTGTCATTAGAAATATTTAGCGATGCAGATTACGCAGGCAACATTCAGACACGACGTTCGACGTCAGGATTTCTATTCAGGTACGGGTCAAGCATAATTTCATGGACATCGCAGAGACAACATTGTGTCGTTATCATCGACAGAGGCTGAATATATTTCGGCCAGTGAAGCTGTCAAAGGGATCTTGTGGATTACACGGTTGATAATAAGCTTATCGACAACAGGTGACAAACAACCAGTTTTATTTATAGATAATCAGAGTGCTATACGTTTAGTTAAGAATCCGGAGTTTCATAAGAGGACAAAACATATAGACGTACGGTACCACTTCATACGGGAGAAATACGAAGAGGGACAATTCCAACTACAGTACATTGGAACAGAGGACCAGATTGCGGACATTCTAACCAAGCCTTTGGTTAAGGAACGATTCGAGAAGTTGCGGTCAGCCATAGGAGTGACTACAATTAAAGAGATTATTAATTGAGGGAGGGTGTTGAAATATACAATTAATATGTAGTATATGTAGTCAGCCTTGACACGTGTGTACAATATAGTAACTAGTTATGTACGAGCATAAGACTCACTCTCTTTACGGATGTAACATGACCTCGGTCGTGCATATATATAGGGCCTTTGATGTATGTAATATTCACTTGCACAGACGCTGTCATACCGAGTGTACGCGGTGTGTGTGTATAGTCACAGTTTAATTGTCCAGTTGTACGTTATTATATATTATACTTATACATAATCATATTGTCGTGTTATTACTTATTATATTAATGCTAACATCATTAGTCCGTCAAGCTTCACTTTCAACATAAACATTGAACGAGTCTATGAATGATGTCCATTCTTTCCAATCACCACTAAACTTAGGGAGTTCAATAGGTGGTAATTTCATCATATTGTTGTTTACATGACTGGATGTGATGCTGTAGGATGGACTGGTCACTTCTGATTTTTTGGATTCTTCAGCTTCCAATATATGTAATAATGATGCCTTGACTTCATAAAACCTCTCTCTAAATTTTGCTCGTTCATCCATTACTACGTCATCTGACCTTTGATCAAGTTCTTCTTTTACTGACTGCACTTCTTCAAATTTTTCTGAAATACTTGGAAGCTCCTCTAAGCGTACTCTAACTTGGCTTTGATTGTTTGTTTCACTATTGAAGTTCTTGGCAAATGTGCTCATCGCCTTTAAACTGGAATGAATAACCTTCAACTCTAAAGTCGCCTTTTTGATATCCATGATTGTGGCCTAAATTACAATATTGGGAATGATGCACAGTGTGCTTATTTAACAATAAAAAAAATATAAAAAAATGATTATACAAATTAATGAAATTTATATTTTATACTGATTACTAATTCACTTAGCCTATCCGGCCCGAAGGACCAAAATGATAACGCTTAAGGTGACCAAAATGATAATGAACAGCCTTGTCGTTGTAAATAATAATGTGGACTGTATTTTGTAATAAATTTTTAACTGCCGTTCGGCACAGTAATGATAATAATAATAATAATAATAACAGTATAAAGTATAATTTCATTTGCCTCTTTGGCTATAATAATGATAATAATAAAAATAATAACATATGATTGAATCAGGCCTGAACGGCTGTAATATACAACGGAATACAATTAATAAATAATATGCGTTAATGGCTAACAGTACATAATAATGTGATGTTTACTACTTTAAGACCCGTCAGTCATACACACACATATCTGGTCGACCAATACTCACATAACAGTTGAGACACACACCTGGTTTTACACCCACGTTACCGCACCAGGGCCTGTAAGTATATCACTAAATTACAATAAAGACAAATTGACCCTGCGTACGTTCGAATGTGTGCCAGCAACTGTTGACGAAGACTTCAATAACAATAACACATTGAATGCAGCCGGAACAGGATTTCTAGTGTTCGCACTACTGTTCCCACGAGCAATGAGGTACACCAAAACACGTTGATTCACAACACAAATCTTTGGTAATTTTGACCATCCTGTACAGAAACAAATTAGTGATGGCAATACAAATTGCTGAGAACGATAATTACCAGAAACTTAAACACAAATTCACAACAACGTGGTTTTGGACGACTGCAAACAGCTCATCACAAACATGACGAGACAACCATGAAAACAATTGAACCGCTCGGCACCGAGCACCAAAAGTGAAGTGGAAGGCCCCGCACGATGTCCTGGAGGCACAATAGAGCAACACAAAAACGAACGGCCTTTCAGTGTCACCACACTAAAACAATAACCGATAACAAAAAATTGTGAACTTTATGACACTGAAAGCATGACTACTCGAAACACAACTTAAAGTTTTTAACATAACCAAATATAATGAAAACATTGATAATTGTTCCACAGCTGGCCGGTCGCACACGAATGCCTGATAAGCATCAGCCGACGAAGGCTGCAACTGTGGAACGCACTGATACGTGCACATGAAAATGATAACAGAAACACACAACAAAAATTTGTTTGCAGCGCAAACAGTAACATAAATTACTTTATTCACAATTCACAAATATATCATCTAATCTAATAGGTATATAAAAATCAGTAACGGCTTGACCGATTTTAATGATATATTTGTTGTATATTTGGTTGGTATGAGAATAGGTCGTAAGGTATTTTTCACCCTCGTACCACCTGCACCTGGGGAGGTGCTCAAACGGGAATTTTGAGATGTATGATGGAAAATGTTGTTTATAGATGGTTGCTTTTGGTTATAGGAGAAATAATTACTAGAAGCATGCATCATTGCATCAAATAAATTTTTTGCACATTGCCTATTTGATATGCTGTTGCATATTGTCCGCGATCCGACATAGTCGGATTACCTACCAGGGAGGCTGAGTTATACCTAAAAGGAGTTTAATAATTCCAGTTCTTTACGGGTAACGAAGATCGCGTGGGAACAGCTAGTATACCTACTATAGTACCTATATTACTATAATATGAAATAGGAATTAATATAATATAGGCCTACCAGTGCCCAGTGTCGTAATTACGGAGGGGGGATTCGGGTGTCGTATCCCCCCCCCCATAACTTTTTAAACTGGTGAACCATAGTTGAGCAGGTTTTTATTTAACTATAAATATTATTATTAATTATAGATACTAATGTATAGGTAGTATATTTTATAATCAACATAAAAACCCGAATCCTCTACTATGGTAGCTGTAGTTGTACCTACATAATTAATATCTTCGTAATGAACACTAATCGCCAATCGGTAATAAATATTAATTTCGATTGCATATTCTATCAAATAATATATTAAAATACAGCATACCTACTTAACAATGCAGATTAGATCGCAGTCTATTTTTGTGAATTATTTTTCGGATACCTGTATATGGGGTATATGGTAGGTATATAATATATATATATACTCGTATACAGGCGCGCACCCAGAATTTTTGCTTGGGGGGGGGGGGCTTAATAATTTTTCTTTTTCCCTTGCACACAAGTAAAACTAATTTTTAAAATACCAATTTTGTAAAAAATCGAACAGACTGAATTATCTAAACGAGATTTTCATGCCACAGACAGTCGAAAGTCATAATTATCATTGTTATCGTAGTTAACAAGTCGACCGTACGTAATCACTATTGTATCTATAAATCTAAAAATAATTTTCAACGAAATAAAAATCAACGATAGCCACCGTAGAGTATATTGATTGTCACAAACCTTATCGCGTAGTATTGAACTATTATGTATATATTATATGTGTATCTAACATAATAACAAAATTTTAAAATAAAACATTATCATTTATCATTGTTATACTATATTTTCTATAATAATGTGTAATTTGATGAAAAAATATTTTTTGGGGGGGAGGCTTAAGCCCCAAAGCCCCCCCCCCCTTGGGTGCGCCACTGCTCGTATATATATATAGGTATTTCAATGAACAATGTTGCAATCAGAATTTGTTAATTTGGCAGTCAGACTTATAGTTTACAAATTATAACTTTTTAAAGTTGGCAATTTTCAGTATTTTACGCCTACGCTGATTATTCTGTATTACACTTTAATATAAAACTTTATTAAATAGGTAGGTAGTATAGGTACCAAATTATTTATTTTAATAATTGCATGCATTAATATAAGTACCTAGTTAGATACATTATACAGATCACAATGGTTGCCGGTTGGGCTAAAAGGTTTTTTTTTATATAAATCAATTTTTTTTTCAAGGTGCGGGCGGTGGTAAACCGTAAATGTTTCAATTCACCCCCTACAAACATGACCAAATTACACCACACGACTGACAGACCGTCTTTGCTCAGCATCGTTTTTTGTGATTGAATGATTTTGTATCATTAAATTCAATTTTAACTTACATTTACAGTGAGTATAGTGACTGTGACTCATCTAGACATTATTCTACTGTACAGCAGAGCCAGAGCGTTACCTACTTCCCACCTTCATTTTTTTAACAGATTTTTCCGAAATCAGTCAACACACTACAATTTCGTTGACACACAACTATACAATTAGTAGGTACCTAAACAACTCAAAAGTAATAATGTACCCAATTACCTAATATTAATCATGTAGGTACCTATGAAGTATAAATCTCATAAATGAAAGATAATACTAATCGTACTAATTTGCGACTACAATTTAGTAGAAAATAACCGTTTAAATCAGGGTAAAAGTCATCAAGTAAGTTAATAGGTACTTTAATCGTTGGTAAATCCCATTGATAATGCAGCCCTCGTGCTAGTGGCAAGTTCATAATATTTTATGAACCTCTAATAGGTACCTAAGGAAATTGACTTGTTACCTAACTAATTTATTTTTAAAATAGTTTGAAATGCGTATAAATAATCTATAAGTTTTTTTTCAAATTATTGATTTTATGTTAGCTTAACAACAAACATACAAGTAATGTAACATTTAATAAAGTAACACCTATGTATTTAATTCAATTATATAGGTACCGTTGTTATTTTAATTATAAGATATTGGATAATATAACAATCAACAATTCAACATCTATTCAGAGTTAATATAAGTTATAACTCCTACGCTCATTGCTTTACTGAATTGAGTGCAAGCCTAGTGTTAAACCACCTATATTTCATTCTATACACACACTGTTGTTATTTTAACACTCCAAAGCATATAATTTACAATTGAGCTGTTTTACAAATTCAGTAAAATGTTAAATCAACTTCAGATTTCTAACTGTGGTACTTAGGTCGTAGGTACCTACGTCGTATATACCTATTACCTATCCTAAGCAGGTACTAATTTTTTCGTGAGTTTTGTCAAATCTCATCAAATTGGGAAACTTTAAATTAATTTGTTGTTAAAAATGCATGACATTTTGAATTTAAATTATAAGATAGTAGTAGGAAAAGGCCGGTACTGGTGACCCCCCGCTTCACCACCCCCCCGCCTATACCGCGCTAGTCTGCGCTAGGCTGCGCTACCCCCGCCACCCTCCCCCCGCCTATACTGCGCTAGTCTGCGCTAGCCTGCACTACCCCCGCCACCCTCCCCCCTCCACCCCCAAAACATCGGTGACGTAGCGCGCTAGCCCCCCGCCTCACCCCCAGCCTATACCGCGCTACCAGACGCCAAGCTGCGCTACCCCCGCCCCACCCCGCTTGTATATCGGTCGCGTTTCCCTACGTCATCGTGCGAATCTCTCCCCCCACTCTCCCCACCAGTACTACGCGTCATCCCGCGCCACTCCGCCAATCCCCCGCCCGTCCCGCACCGGAACTACGTTATCCGGCTCCTCCCGCGTCATCGCGGGCCCCCGCGGTATATATATATATAGTAAATACTCCGAACATGCTATAGTATATACCTATATATACTATATACCTTCTATGTACATACTATGCACATACCTATATACTATGTACATACTACATACTATGTATATACTATGCACGCACCTATATACTATCTACATTGTACATACTACATACTATATATATATATATATATATATATATACTCTAAACATAGCCTAGTATAGCAGTATATTAGTATATATGAAAGAATCACCCCTCCCCATATATTTCACGACATATTCACGCTTACCGTGGTTGATCTATTAACTAAGATAATTATTATTTTTAATTCGCATGCCAAAATATTATATGATAATCGTGGATCATACCCGGTGCAGCTGTTCGATGTCCACCAAGTGTGTTTCATTATATTGTTTTTCAAAGTTAAATTTAATTTAA